AGATTTTAATGGCAACCATTTTTTATCTATATATTCTTTTTGTGTAGGCGATAAGAAATTTACCGTATGTTGTTCTATTCTTATACAGTATTTCAAATATGCAATAATACCTTTCACAGAAGGTTTTTCTTTTGAATTTTTACAGCTATAAATATAAAATTTTAAAATCAACATTATATGTTGTACTACATTATATGGGTCAAAAATTTCCCCAATACTAAAAATAACATCTTTTGCCTCTGAATGTTTAAGGGTAAATCCACATTTTAGTAATAAATTTTGAAGAGCTATCCAAATATTTGTGCTGTATATACATTCCCAAAAGATATGCAATAAGCTTTATTTGGTTTCAGTGCAAAAAGTGCACAATTCTGTTTCTGTTAATCAACATTTATGAATAAATGAGTAAGTGTATACAATTCTATGTAATAACTTGAGCTGAAAATTTTGAAGTTCAGTGTTTTTTGTTGCTTGAGATGCCATCGAGTAAATTTTCCCCCAATCATCAATTTTAACACATAAATCCTCAGACCATTTGTTTTGTGATCCTGATGGATTTTCTTTAATAATTTTTTAGAAATAGTTGATAAAAATATTAACATGGTTTTTTTTTATCATTTTTAAGTTTTTCTACAATATCATTTTCAATAATATCTATTCTACCGTGGTCTGAAATTGTTTTCTTCCAGATACCTGGGATTGCACCAACAAGACCATAATATTCAACAAAATTGGTTTTAACTGCATACTGAGTTTTAAGCTGTTTAAATGTCAGTATGGTTTTTTCATCTGAGATTAGATCATTTATAAAAAATATACCATCATTTCAATAATTTTCATAAATAAATGGCTTTCCACATCTTTTAATGTTAATATTCAGCCAAATGGATTGACTCAGGATATTTATGATATTGTTTTCATTTTTCACCTTTTCTGGCTTCAATTTAGCTAGATTAAGAAAAATGTCCCTCCAAAAAGGATTTTACTTTTTTGCAATTTTTTCCATACCCTCTTTTGTCAGGTACAATATTTTATCCCCTCCATATTATTCTATATAACTCAACAATAAAATTTTCCAGGGGGAAACATTCAAGGGATCTAGCAATTTAATAAGCCATGACATTTTAAGGGACATACAAAAACTTTCAATATGGGGGAATTTTAAACCTCCCTCATCATAATTATTTATAATAACCTTCCTTTTTATTTTGTCTGGTTTTCCATCCCATAAAAATTTGATGAAAATTCCATTTTTTTCTTGCATAACCTGAACTGGTGGATTTGGAAGTACTGTCAGAACCTGTACCAAAAGTGGGAGAGCCAAAATTTATACAATGCTTTTGCCAATATATGTCAAGTTTCTGTATGACCATAAATTGAGAAGGCTTTTTATGCTTTTAATTTTTCTGTATAGTTTTATTATCCTCATTTAAGAGATTGAAACGATTTCCCAACAGTTTAAACTTTCCTGATGTATTCCAAGATAATTTCTTATTTAGTAATAGTTTTTCATTACTGCCCAATCTTGAGCCAACCCATATGGCTTCAGTTTTATCTACATTTACCCTCAAACCAGCACAAGCAGCAAAGCTATCAAAAATGTGCAAAGCTTGTTTAAGAGATACCTCATTATCATCCAGAATCAGAGAGGAGTCATCTGCATATTGACTTAGTAAAAACTCTGAGTCGTTTACTGTGACACCAGATACCTTTGGGTCATATTTTAAAGCTGCAATAAGTAGTTCCAACACAAGGATGAAGAGATAAGGGGGTAAAGGATCCCCTTGCCTAACTCCCCTAGCCAAAGTAAAAATTCTGATAAATGTCCATTATTTGAAACTGCACTGGTAATGTCTGTATAAAAAAAACATTTTATCAATCTACAAAGTGTGGGACCAAACCCATAAAAAATCTATTTTTCAATAAAGGACAATTCGACCGTTTCGAAGACTTTTTCAAAGTCAACCAATAATAATTATCCTGGAATATCTTCTTCTTCTAATTTATATACCAAATATGCATTAATTCTAACACATTCAACAATGTATCTTCCATTAAAAAATCTTTTTTTTTGTCTGACTTATTATATTTTGCAGTAGAGGTTTTAATATATTTGCTATACAAGCAGATGCCAATTTTTGATGAAGTGTTTTTCTTTTCCCTCCTTTGGTAGACATACTATTAATGTTTTTTTTCAAGATAACAGAAGAAAAGTGTATTTTTCTCCCATTCAACTTGCCATTTTGCCTTTGCTCTTATTATAATTCCATTATTTATTTTCTTCTCTTAACATTTTAAGTTCTGTTTCAGCCTTTTCAATATCAAGTCTAATATCATCTGAATTATTTAAAACAAATAGGTTGTTTAATTTTTCTAATTTTTCTAAAAGCAGATTCTCCATCTTGTCTTTTTCTTTTTTCTTAAATGAAGAGCAAGAAATGGCTGTGCCCCTTAATTTCATTTTAATAGTTTCCCAATGTATTTGGTTATCAATTTTGTATGCCTTATCAAGGTTTTCAAGATCTTCATTTGAATTGCATTCATATTTAGATATAACCTCTGTAATATCATGCTTGACTTTTTAAAATAAAATCAATATCCTTCAACAAACTATTGTTAAATTTCCAAGTCCCTTTTTCCCTGATCTGATTAATAAATTTGAGGTCAATCCTCACTGGTGAGTGGTCAGCTCTATAGCTAATCCCAATATCTGATGTCACAACAAACGGCTCTAAGTCAGAAGAAATACAAAAAACATCAAGACGACCTTGTTTTTTGTTAGCGCCCTTCTAAGAATATCTTTTAACTGTAGGATTTTGTATCCTCCAAATATCTAGTAAGTCTACATTATTCATCATTTCATGAATCTTAACTTGAGCTCTGGGATTATTCTCAGTCTGATAGATCAGAGTATCAAGACTATAATTTTGTACTAAATTTCAGTCTCCAACAACTATAACTGAAGAATTTTCAAAAAGACAAATTTTGCTTTCCAATGAATAAAAAAATTCAGGACAGTCCTCATTGGGCCATACAATGCTACAAGTGTAAACCTAATATCTAAAATAATGAAATAACCATTATTATCTACCATTTCATTATTTATTTAAAATTCAAAGGACTTCTTAAACAAGACTGCTACTCCTCTGCTCCTGTTTGTGTAACTACTAAATTTATCTGTTTATCCCCATTCTTGAAGCCATTTATTTTCATTTTCTAAACAACAGTGAGTATCAACCAACACTGCAATATCATAACGTTTCTTACAAATTGAAAAAAATAGTATACAATTACTGTCTTTTGACGAGGTAAATATGCGGTTTTATCGACTTTTGAAAAACTGATATTCACTTCAGTTTTTCAAAAGTCAATTAAACCACATATTTACCGAAACAAAAGACAGTAATTGTTTTATTCCATATTCCGAGAGAAAACAATGTATTTAATGACAAATATTTACCCAAACCAATTGTACATCAAACATTTTACCATAAAGTTACATGTAAAAGCGCGTGACGTTTAGCGCGGTGAATAACACTTTTCTCCAGGTGAATATGCTTTTTTTTTTTATCTAAAATCCAATTCATATAGAGAAACCTACTAAAATGATACTAATATGGAATAACTAATCTTATTACCTTATTTGCTAATCCCCTACAGTTTACAGAACCTACTACTATGGATGCCATAGATATGCATATAAAAATTTTGTCAATAAAATAATATTCACATATATAACACACTTATATTTGTTGCTATCTGTCCCAAGTGATTTATATAACTTACATTTTTTTGCATGGTGTACACCAAAATTCATATCTTGTGTTGTCTTTAATAATTAATTTAATAATAAATAAACCGATTTTCGTCTTTTACTGTACATATTCTAATCGAGTCGACATACATTTGTGAAATTATAAAATAAAATCGTTTAAAACTGTTTAAGCGTCTAAACGGTTAAGAATGAGAAATTATGCAAAGCCCATCTTGAATTCGACAACTTAAAGTGATTCTAATCTATCACACACGGAACACATTTTCTGATATTCACAGTGATGACCATGAGGACTTTATTAATGAATCTTGTTGAGGGTGCTGTGCATTTGTATCTATATCCAAAATAGTGATGTACTAGTCAAACTCTGTTTATGGGTGAGGCTGCTTAGCATTTTTAATTTTACCAAAAAATGCTGTGGAGACTGGAGAGAAAGGCAATTATATGTCTAACATTTTGATTTAGACATTTTTAGAATGACACAGTGACTGACATCCATTCATCAAATACCAATCATCCTTTCCATTCATTACACTAATGGTAATTGAGCATCTTACTATATGTGCAATAATTATGATGATGATGCCTCATTAATTAATATGACAGGATATAGATGGTTTGATTTTAGAAATTATCTGATTTAAACTTGATAGCGCAATATGATTACTATACACAAATGAAACCTATTACTTAAGCAGATCCTGCTCCACATGTGGTACCTATCGTGTTGCTACTGTCAGTACACACCCGGGAAAATGGGGACGGGATTGTAGTTTCAACATTTGGAACATATCCGCAATCACTTGTCCATAACGGTTAACCAACTCGTGATGGCGTCCGTAAAGTTTACGAAGGGATATTACAACTTCACCACTTGTAACTCTTGGTTTAAAAGCTTCCTTGAGAGCAGCAACCCTCTATCAAGGACATCATGATAGGAAATACAGGTAATGTCCCATGGGATTCTTGTTTATCAAGGAATTCTATATATATTTTCGTATAAACGACCAAAACAGCATGCATAACTACGTTAATAACAATACATTTGTAATGACTCACATACTATAGTACACATAGATTGGTTATCTTCAGGCTCTAAAAATATCTTTGATTTTTTTATATATCAACATAAACACAAGTGCGATTTAAATTTTAGCACCGATTCAGTCAAATCACCTTTTGAACATTTAGATAATTTCCCTTTAATCAAATGGGAATTCCCACTGAAAACGAAAGTAATTTTAATGTGCGTCGGTTGATAAAAAACAAAAGCCACAGTTTTGTTTTAAAACAAACTGAAAAGGTAAGTTAAATTAAAAAAAATCATGTTCATAATAGAAAAGTAAAACTTATTATGATAAAGATGACAATACAAATCGTTTGTTTACATCGGTAACCAAGATTATTTAAAGTAGTTAACACACCCCAATTCTAAAAATAGTAACCGTTAAAGTATGTATGTTTTAATTATTTGAAAACTACATTAAAAGGAATATTTAGGTGTTTTTATACGGACATTTTTTAGAAAGACGTTACTCGTTGCAGCATCATGATGAAAATGAAAAGAAATAAAGAAAAATCAGAGAACAATTGAAGGTCTTTCCACATCAATTTTCAAAGTTATTGAAAAGAAGTTAGTTCCTGTTTACTCAAAGTTAAAATTGGCAGTGGTTTCTATTTACCTTTGAGTGAAATAAGGAAGATAATTTACTACTTCCGGTGAAGTAAACGTCACTTCCGGTCTCATATGATAGCTTCTTTCACACTGATTCCAAAACTATACAGCTTCTATATACTTTTGCCTGTAAACCAGGAGATAATTGGCCACTTCCGGTTTATCGAAAGTCACTTCTAGTCTTTAGTGATAAGTTAATGTATCTAAATTACAAAAATATATGGATTCAAAGTACTTTTTCATGAAAAAAGTGCAAACATGGCTACTTCCCGTTTTCACAAGGTCACTTCCGGTTGTCATTTTTCAAGTTCATATGTCACCCAACCTTTTGTTTAAGGTCATATGGCTTTATAATGAACCAAGTTGAAGTAATAATCAATTAACCTTATAATTAGACATTTCAGGGGCACTAACTCCTATAAGATGCCATTAGATTGTATCAGATCAAATGTAACATATCTTCATTACAATGAAGCAATCATTTTGTACTTGTTCTTTTATACATATCTTTTAAAGTGTTGGAGAAAATGCAAAAACAAGGAAAAGTCACAATTGAGAACTTGACCTTGACCTTTGACCTTGACCTCATTTTCTAAGTTAGCACCTAGGGGCCTCGAATAAAAACATTCCAGGGTTATACGGTTAACGCTTGATGAGTAAATAATACATACCGACAAATTTATTTCGTAAAGGTAGATAACTTCTATAAAATTTCATCGAATCGCTTCGATCCAAATTAGCCAAAAATTCCTGAGAATGTAACGAGCAATTTGTAAAAAGAATTTTGTCGATATCTTTGTTTTGTTACGAAGGAGATGCACACAGATGATAAACAGTGAATAGGGAGATAACTCTTGCAAAGAAAATGGTTCGGCTTAGCAGGGTGAAATTTAAAAGCGCATAAACTATACAATACAATATGAGAAATATCTAAGCGACATATTGCGAAACAAACATTTATCGCAAGAACAAAATTTGGCGGAAGAAAAAAATAAATAGTTAAAAACCAATTGTTCAAAGAACAATTGAAGGTCTTTCCACATCAATTTTCTAAATAATTGATAGGAAGCTACTTCTCAGTTCTGGTTTACTCAAAGTTATTAATAGCGTCAAAGTATAGATTTCTTCATACTGATTCAATAAATAAATGGTTTCTATATACTTTTGCCTGAAATAAGGGAGATAATTGCCAACTTCCGGTTAAGACAATGTCACTTCCGGTCTCATATGATAGCTTTATTCACACTGATTCCAAAAATATATAGTTTGTATATACTTATGCCTGTAATAAGGAAGATGATATGCTACTGCCGGTTTATAAAATGTCACTTTCGGTCTCAAATGATAGGTTAACCTATGATCATTCAAAAAATATATGGTTTCTAGGTACTTTTCCATGAAATAAGTGCAAAAAATACTACTTCCGGTTCACTCAAGGTCACTTCCGGTTTCCTTTTTCCAAGGTCATATGTCAACCAACAGTTTGCAATAGACCCTATGGCTTTCTCATGTACCAAGTTGGAGTAATAATCAATTAACCTTAAATTGAATCATTTCAGGGACAATAACTCCTATAAGATATCATTGGATTGTTTCAGACCAAATGTATCATATCTTAATCACAATTAAGCAAACATTTTGCACTAGTTCTTTAATTTGTAACTTTAAAAGTGACAGAGGAGATCAAATAACAAGGAAAAGTCAAAATTTAGAAAAGGACCTTGACCTTTGACCTTGGCCTCAATTTCATTTAAATGAACGAAGGAACTCAAATCAATATACTTTAGGTCTGTATCACTTACCATTCATGCTATACATTTATATATCCCTTATGTCAAATACAGAAGGGGAAATAACTCTCCTATGGAGTTTACGTATCGCTTCGGTCAAAATTGGACAAAACATCCTGAGGATATAACGAGCAATTTGGTAAAAAAAATTTGTCGCTTTCTTTTACGGTTACGGAGGAGATGCATGCACAAGGAAAACAGTGTTCAGGGAGATAACTCCTACAAAGAAAAGTATTCGGTTAAGCAGGGTCAATTTCAAAGGCGCATAAACTGTTTGATATCATATACGAAACATCAAAGCGACATCTTGCGAAACAAAAATTTATCTCAAGAACAAAATTTGGCGGAAGAAAAAAAAAAAAAAATAATCAGAAGAAAACCAATAGGTCTTTCCACAGAAAAGTGGAAAGACCTAATAATAATAATAATTATAATCAGAACAAATACAATAGGTCTTTCCACAGAAAAGTGGAAAGACCTAATAATGAACACGCTAACACCAAAGCTGTTTTTTATACCAATGTTCCTTTTGAATATTTGCTTCGTAACTTACGTCAAAAGTGACAGTGTCAATCACTGACCAATACGAATCGATATTTTTAATAATAGTCTTGATATTTCTCTTGACCAAAGGCGCTTGATAAATGGAACCCCTTATTATTTTTTCTATTCCTATTGATGTTCATTTATTTCACTATTTGATGTTTTCTTACGATATTCAAATAACAGTAGCTTGCATATTTCTGTAACATTTTCTTTTCAATTTTCCCAAATTTAAGACAATCTTACTCGTCTTTTTGCTCCGAATATGATATATGATGTTTTATCCCCACCTCCCCCCCCCCCCCCCCCCCCCCCCCCCCCACACACACCCGATGTATTTTTCCTGTATAGTTTTTTTTCAATTTCTTTATCTTGTAAAATATATTTTTTATGACACAAACTTTTATCCGTCTTCATTAATGGATATTACGTTGGTACTCTTAGTGTGTTATATTTAGTTTTGACATCATCATCAATGCAATATATTTTTTTCTTGAAGACAACACTTTTAGATATTACAACTATTTACTGCAGATATTCAGTCATTATCGGGTAAGGAATTTGGACAGTTCAGAGTGCTTTAAAAGAATGAAAATGTTTTGATATAATTTCTTTGGAACGATTGCGATAAAATAATAATGCATACGCTATGTATTTAAATTACAGAATGACGGACAGTAAATTATGTGCTGGTTGTCAGCGTGGTGATGAAGATATAAAAGCCATATCATGGTGCAGTGATTGCAGTGAACCTGTATGTAAGGCGTGTTCCAGAGTTCACGACAGATTGGTCCCGCCTCACAAGGTAGTACTGTTCCAATGCAAGAGATTCAACACCTCAGTTCTTCAATCCTTACATTGTCCAAGAACTGCCAGAATCATCCAGATCAAGCGATTTCACTGTACTTCTGTCAACATGACAAGGTAGTCTGCGTTTCATGTGTTCCGGTATCACATCAGAATTGCAAGCCTCTAATTTCAATTAAAAAAGCTGCTCGAGGCGTGAAAAATGGCAGCGCTATTTATGATCTAGAAAGAAGGATTTAAAACTTATGTCAAGTTACAGAGAACATACGGAGTCAAAGTGAGACAACACTTGTAGATTTGAAAAAAAAATCGAAATTAAAATCAAGAAAAGGGTCTCGGAAATCAAGAAAAAAGTAATTGCTCATTTAGATACGTTAGAAACAGAGATACATAAAGACATTGATTCTAAGTATAAAACATGTACTGCGATGGCGTTCCAAAACAAAAAATAGCATCAAATCCAGATCAGAGTCGCTGTTTACATGGAAAAGTGATCTAAGATCACTGAAACAACATATATCAGAAATCCATTTATTCAGAGTGGTAAAATTTCTAGATGCAAAAACTCACCGGAAAAAAATGGAAATCAGAGAAATCCAAACAGCTAATGTTCCGATACTTAAATATCATCCATCAGAATCTGAGTCGAACATTCAGAAATTAGTCCAAGATTAGGTACAATAACGATAGAAAATGCTGAAGTCCAAATGTCTGTACTAGATATCGACCAACAAGGTCAATTTCTCGTTAGGAACGACACATTCATTCCAGACCACGAAATTAGATAATGAAGTGAGTATCTATAGAGGTTGCTTTATTGCTGTTGGTGATGCAGGTATCTAGGTCATCGACCTGATATCATTGACGCCTGGTACGAGAATTGATGTTGAAGGATTCTGTAGTGGAATCACATTTGTTAAGGACAAGATCTAGGTAGGAAATCAAGATCACACTATAACTATTATAGATATCAATGGTGAAGTTCTAAATATAAAACAAACAACATTTTGTCCTTATAAAATCTGTGCCAATCAGGACGGTGATGTCTATTGTACAGACAACAATAGTAATAACGTATACGTTGTTACATAGGATGGAAAAGAACGTGAGATATACAACAGTTCTGGCCTGAATGCTGCTATTGGTGTAGCTGTAGATGACCGTGGTGATGTGTACGTAGCAGGATATGAATCAAACAACATACATAGAATATCTGATGATGGAAAGACACATGGCATTGTCTTGACAGCAGAAGATGGTATCAATGAACCGACCTGTTTATCTTACAACAATGAAACAAAAGAACTGTTAGTCTTAAATGACTATTCAAAATCTATCAATATCTATAAAACACAATAAACACCGGTTTAGGAACACTGACTCGTAGCATCGATAATAAGCCCAAAAGATAAAACAAAAGTTTATATCTTAGTGAAAAATAAATTAATAACCGGGTTTTCAAATATTGCTTTAAACTTTTTATCAGATTTACCTTTTACTGACAAACTGAACCATACGGAAAGTAATCCAATAACTATTCAAATCTGAAGTGTAATGAATGTGACAACGTTTTTTCTTAAATACGAAGAATTAAAAAATCTAGAAAAAATTTATTGATGGACTAGTTGTAAGTAATTTTCAAACTTGCACACTGAGCAAAAGAAGAGCATGAGGATGGGTTTGCATATTTCGGTCACACATTCTATATCAGTTCATGACAGATCAAAATTGTGTGTCAGTAAGTTTATTACAAAACCAATTATTAAAGAAAAACTTTATCTGAATGTTCCTTAGGGAATCTAGTTAAAAACTACATCCGGGGAAATGATACATCAGTGAACATGGCACCAGTTGTTAATACTGATTTTTCTTTCAATTATTTTTATTATTTCAAACTGCGAAATAAACATAGGGTATAAGGCTAGGATGAAACTTCGATGGTTTTATCCCTATGAGAATTGGTCAGACATCGTTACTTTTTTGGGAGAAGTACATTCCTAACGGACAAGAATGCTTCGAGAGAGGTATGAGGAAGAACGACTGAAATCGACACCACATCGTCACACTCACGAATCGTTTGCTCGTACCTACATGTCTGTGTCGCATCTTACCAGCGACATGTTTCCGGAGTCTTACATCTTTAGATACAAAACAGATGTTAATAATGTCATTTTAGTAACTTTGTTATTCTTCAATGGAGTTTGTTCTTGATTTTGCACAAAAATCTTTCTGTATTGTTTATGACGTTGCTGAAAAATAATTACAGGACGAATTGAAAACAACAAACATATTCCTAACATTGTTCAAAAATTCTGTGAAGAAAATGGTTGGTTAAATCTCATTTTATGCTTGCTAAATCTCCCATGGGTATTTAATTTGTTAATTAATAGTTCCGCTGCATTGATTAAATTTGATGAACAACCCAGAGAAACACTATTGTTATAGTTCACTTATTGAACACCAAAGGAAAAGAGATGAGACTTTAACAATTTAGTTCAACCCGGATACCTTTTATGTTTATGTACCGATCCGAAGTCAAGAACCTCGTTGTTCGTCAAGTATCAAATCTTTATATGTTCGTTATTTTGAGGATCATATCTAATGGCAGATATGTGATTATTTCTGTTTAATCGTTTGATCCTGCTAGATTTTAACCTTAAGATTGTATCGGTATAATGTCTACTGTGGATTCATTATGATTCGTTGGATACCAATTTTTGTGATTTTCGTGGGAACAGATCAACCACGAATTCAAATGTTCAATGAATTACACATTTTCTAAAGGCTTGGTATATAGAGATCGTAAAACCACAAAATCAAATACCCAAGAAAATGAAAGTTCCCTCAATCCACGAAAATAAATGAATTTAGAGTACAATGTTGAGGATTAATTCATTCACTCTAACGGAGTTTAGTTTTTTTGTATTTAATACCAGTCTCGTGACCAAATATTATACATTTACACCACCTTTTATGAAACGCAGCAAGTACCGTATGTGTTACATAACAAAAACAAAGGATATGAGGTATCTATCCAGGACACAAAATCAACTCATGCACAGCAACAACAACAAAGAAAAGAATACAAAAAGCAAAGGAACAGCGCATTAATTGCTGTTTATCATCTCAAAATCACAGTGAAGAATTCAACACGGAGCTACAACTATGTTTACCTCACTACAAGTTTAACGCGACCCATAGCACGGCTTGAGCGGAATTATTTGCAAAAATAAATTTGGATAGACTGTGTAAGACGTAACACCTACTAATCAGGCCCGGTCAAAAAAGAACATTCTGGAAAGTAGTACATATTTAAAACAAAATAGTTCCTACGCATAGTTGTAAATATGAAAGTATGTAGCATATATCTTAGTAATTAAGGTATCACATGAAAGTCGAAGGACTGGTGATCCTTGTAGAACAAACAATTTACTGATAATTTTGAATAATACAAATATTATGAATTAGTTCCATAACTGAGGGCATATATAGTCTGTTTCTCAGATATTAAGTGCCTGGTTTGGTGTATCTAAAATTTCGGTAACCAGTGCAGTACGGTCTGGTGTATAAATACAGGGATATTAATCGTGCTTTCATCATATGTTTTGAAGTGAAAAAGTGAACGTTGATAGGAATGATGACCAATATTAGATGGTGTGTGTTAACATTTTATTGTATAAACTATCCTACAATTTAGAGAATGATGTGGCACACATAAGATAAATAATCTCAAGAATAAATAAATCATAACTCTAAAAATACAGAAAAGCATACATATCAAGCACGGGGAAACTTTCTATGGCCTCCACACAGCAATTACAACAAACTCTGTTAAAATTTAGTAGAATCAAATGATATGGGTATCTATCCATGAAACAAAATCGATACGGCAACAACAACACAAACAAACAAACAAACAAACAAATAAAAAGCGAAGGGCTGTTTGCTTGCTTATGTCAGAAAATTTGCTCAAACATTTACAGTAATTAAGCATTGGGTCTCCTACTATGAAGGCCACTCTTGATAAATGATAATTCAAATATAACACCATTTCAATAGAGATAAAGGCATTGAAGTAACAAGAAAGTAAGATCATAATCAAATCCTCACATGAACAAACATCAAACAAAATTATTTTATTAGTTAATTTATGTTGCATTAAGACTGTAAACAGTAAGCTCAACCCTCTTATGTGGTAAGACGATATGAGTTAAATGTAACGTTCCTTGAGTATGTATGAGAATAGGGCAATCGACTCCGGTTCTCGTGTTCAATTGGAGATGATCGAACTTAACCATCTTCAATATTGCAATATTTGGTTTAAGCCTATACTCCAAAACATTGAGAGATATTTTGATGAAACTTAACACTAGTGCCCAAAAAGATCAATATACATTAATGAATATCGTTCCTTTCAAAAATATAAGTGTCCTAAAAGACATTTAGACATTTGTATCTAAAATATACTACATATAAATAAAGGCAACAGTAGTATACCGCTGTTCGAAATTCATAAATCGATTGAGAAAAAAAAAAAATCCGGGTTACAAACTAAAACTGAGGGAAACACATCAAATATAAGAGGAGAACTACGACACAACAGAAACACAACACTAAAATGTAACACACACAGAAACGAACTATAATATTATAATTGCCATTTCCTGACTTGGTACAGGACATTTTAAGAAAAAAATGGTGGGTTAAACCTGGTTTTGTGGCTAGCCAAACCTCGCACTTTTATGGCAATGTTAAATATAACACTAAAATGACACCATTACATGACAGGAATACAGTACAAAATAGCTGTGTTTTTTTTAAACAATTTTCTGTCTTTTGAAACTTTAGTGTCTGTACTGCACTGTTACAGTACGGACCACATGGAACCCAAACAATATGGGAAAAGGTAACATTTTCCCTACGGAATGTATGAAAAGGTAAACGTTTTTAAAATATAAATTATTTGAAAAGGGTGGGGTGACAGAACCCAAATGGCACACTTGTGTATTTACAAAATGCCTTTACATACATCTGACGTTTATTTTAATTTTATTTGCCAAAAACACGTAGTTTATAGCTGGTTGCAAGTCAAAGTCAGCGTTTTTCATAGGAGTTATTTCCCTTTGATTACTTTGCGTAACGTCGCGTGAACATTGATGACGTAAATATATTCTCCAAAACAAAACATCTGGAAAAACATAGGCGACCATTGCAATGGTAATTTCTAATAGAGAAATTTAAAATGCTACGTACACGCATTTAGACAGTTTCGGGATGACACGAGGTACTTGAAACGTGTTGTAATTCTATTTTCTTTAAGAAAATCGCTGTTTGAAACATATGTCTGCACAAATAATAAAATAATCGCACTTTTTTTACGGACAGCAAAGCTTGAGCCAGACTATAAGAGTTCATATTTCGTTTCATAATACAGCTCTTCACGTTTTTACGTATTTAGACAATACTGGTGTTTAAATGTTTAGGTTAAAGCGTTCCTGGTTAATGTTAATCAAGAAAAGTGCTTCAGAAGTAAGAAACTACTATTATTTTCATTAATTGATATCTCTTTTACAATTTACATGTAGATAAATTTAAACGCTACTACAGTCTTTCCATGGATACTCTGCTCCATACTCACACACGAATTGAAGAAAGATATCTCGATAATTACTTGTAGGTTTGTATCCGTCAAAGTTGTACGTATATCTGTACCTGACTGCTTCGGCAATGTCGTCACCATACATCTAGGGTTCTTCTTTCGTCACTTCGATAACGCCGGAACACTTTTTATAAAAAAGTGTTTTGGACGATCTGTCTATACACAGCGGCTGACAGACATGTCCGTGAAGATCATAAACACTCACATAAGACGTTTCAGATACACTTAGAGGATTTTTTACACCAACATAAGCGACTGTTTTGCATACCATATGTCGTGTATCGATGTATCGACCTTTGTTCGATATACCATCGGATTGTTCGAAAAACTTGGTTGCTCCAGATTGAGAATCTGAAACCCGTATTTTGTCTACTCTTGGTTTAAAAAAATCCCATAATTTTGAGGTTTTGTCGTTTGAATAAATATTATCGTTGTCATCTATACTACCATTTCGGACAGGGTTGCAACCGAAATGTTGTCCAATCGGTCTGATATACATCAAAGTGACTGGAATGAAGGCCCATTGACTTACATCAGCTTCTCCATCAATCACAAAATTGTTCTGATTTGAACTGTCCATAACAGATTTATACCCGTCATCTTCGTATTCTACGTCACGTTTTCTTTTTCTACCAAAGGGTGATGACGAACAAAGCAAAATTGGTATACAACGTCCAAATGAGCATCTAAAAATTGACGACTTTGACAGTCAGATTTACGTGTGCATGTGAGTTCTCCTGGAGATAGCGCAAAACTGGTTATTCTTTCATCGAACACTTTTAGATATCCCGTGCTATTTGTGAATTCATTTAAATTACACATTGGTCGATTCGGCTAATGAAATTGATCAGCGGTTACTGGATAATCGATATCGAAATCATTACCTGAAACATAGATTTTGTAATGTCATTAATCGTGAAATACGACAAACAGTATATTTGCAATTTAGAAAATAGAAAAAAGTGTATCTAAGACTTAGATCGAATAAGACTTAAAAGAAGTAAATTTTTCTATTATAGAGAAGTCTAGGTTTTTTAAAAACAAATAACATAAAAAAAAAAAACTCAATGACAAAACAAAACATACTCAAGTGTCCCAAAGTCGGTGAATAAGTAAGAGACAGTT